GACGTTTCATCTTCAACTAAGATCGTATCGGTGCTTTTCTTTGTCGTATACGAGTAACTCGCAATTGTTCCCACCAATTAAAAGCACTTTTCCTTAAATTTGTATGCGACGAGTGCCACATTCTTATCCACTAGAATCCCCATGTAATAAAAAAAACCTCTCAAAATATTCTAGCCAATCTAGAAAGAGACCACCAAAACATGAAGGAAATTTTCTAGAATCATAATCCCCATAATCATGCTATCTTTGTGCATCTCTATAACCCCTAAACACCTTTTTCCTAAGAGGCTAACTAACACTTGGGGAGGAAGGGTTGCGATTACGAACAGGATGAACACGATCTACGTAAAATGCACACATTCTTAAACACTTGCGGAGAAAGGGTTGCGATTACGAACAGGATGAACACGATCTACGTCATCGTTGTGAAACCTGTTGTTATTGTGATTCTGATTCGAACCTAACGCGAGCCTAACAAGTGATGCTTGAATATCTTACAATGCCTGAAGGGTTGTTTGTTGAAAGTCCTGAAATTCGGCCCTAAAAAGAGCCACTCTTTGTTGATCTACGACACTAGAGAGGTTGTCACAAAAATGATCACCTACCATTAGACAAGGCTCTGATAGCAACTGACGTAAGCAGAAGAGATAAATCTATTCACAAGGAACGGTTTACTTTGAATCTACAAAGTAGGGTATTTTGAATCCACAAAAAGAGAGATAAATTCAGAGAAATCGGATAATTGTATTGATAATTGAATGAATAAAAGTTAATTTTGCACTTTGTAGTACATATATTTATAATAAAAGGAAAACCTGATGGAAACTAAAAACATAAAGAAACCTAATAGCAAAAGGAAAAAATAACACTAAAAATAAGCCTAAAATAAAGTTTCCCTAAAAATTCCAAAAACTAAGAATAAGAAACCTAATAAAAAAAATACTAAATCTAAAATTTGGGAGCAATTAGACTTCGTTTTGGCCTCGAACAAAAATCCAAAAATAATCTACAAGCCTCCTAACAGATAAGAAAACATGATTTTGAAGCTCTAAACGAATGTTTTCAGCTGAAAACCAATATGATCCACAAATTAAAGCTAGTGGGTGTTTCTCAATGTGTCGTTTCCACCCACAAAACACTATTGGTTTGTCAAAAATGGACTTGTTGGTCTGACTAAATTTTTTTCCTGCATTAGTCCCCTCCACTTCAAAAAAAACTCTTCCTCAAGTTTGGCTGCGAATAGCACAAAGTATTTCTTAACATAAAAATATATTGTCCACTGCTATGATAACCAATTTGAAAACTAATACATCAATTAAATTCAATTAAAAGTAATTAATTTAATTACATAATTTCTCCCAAATATAGGGGTATTACACCTCTCAATACTATATATGATTTTGTGATCATTTTCGGGCATTATTTGCATATGAGCTATTATGCACTCTAGGTGCTTGTTTATTGTTTGCGTGTGTTGTTTGACTTGTTTTCGGGCATTGGAATATATTATATAATTTTCATCATGCGTAGGTCATGGTGTAAATGCTACTTTGGCCATGGGTACATTGTGATTATCATTTGGTACATGAGTGCAAGGGTTACGTAAGCATGACATTGATGGTTTACTTGATGGATAGATGTTATCCAATTTTTGAAAAAAGGGCTTGGTGCCCAAGGGTTGTTATTCCCTACTCTACATTGGCCAATGGGGTGTGAAAGTGCACCAATTTATTATCATGTGCAGAACGTGATTCCGGCATGGGGCATTCATCATTTTTGCATCATGGCGTTCATATGGATGAGTTGTGTCATGGTGGAGTTCATAGGATTGTGTTAAGTTCATAATTCATGAGATTATGTGAATCTTATCATTATCGAGTTATTGTGGTAGACATTATGTGATAATGTGCTATATGTGGCTTAGGACTTGTTTATTTACATAATTTGATGAGGAACTTCATTTGATACTTGACTTGATTTTATGATTTGCTTGAATTGAGTTGGAATATTATGCTACAGTAGTTAGAATTAGGGTGTATGATCCCATTCATTTTCATGGTGCTTAGATTCTAGGTAGCATGACTTTTCATCCTTGGGATGCGAAACATTCTTACATGTCCTTAGGGATTCCAAAGGACGTAATCTATTTTTGTAATCTACTAATCCAACTGAGCCGTTGTGCTCAGCCCTATATTATTAATATTTTTCAGGAAATAAGTCGCTTGGGATAACTGTTAAAGTTGAAGAATCATTTTGACTCATTATGGACTTAGATATATATTTGATGTATTTATGGTTATATATTTTTGAAATTAAACTCGACATTGTATTTCTTTCCCTTGAGGTTGTAAACCAATGTATTAATTTCGGCATATGCATGAGTAAGAGATTTCATGATGATGTAATTGAGGCCAATGAGCCATTTTCTTTTAACGTGTGCCTTCTATATCATTTGTGCACTTGTGTGTGCCACCTATGCACATGTATATTATATCTTCATGTCCATGCCAAGATTTATGGGCTTTTATGTCATTCACTTTGGGGCGTTTGCCTAATGTTCGGGGACAGGTTTCGGGTGTGCTTAGGGTCTTTTGGGGTATCATGTAGGTACTTGGAAACCTTATGCAGCTTTTTCAAAGGTTTTTGACACATTTGGAGTGGATTGCGATTGATTGCATATTGAGATGCGATTGGTCGACAAAGAGTCATTTTTGGGTATATTGTGGATGTGACCGATCGCATATGGGTGCAATCGGTCAACAGAGGGCATTGAGCCCATTTTTAGGGTTTTGAAATCGTTTCTTCACTTTGTCATAACTTCTTTGTTTTAAGTACAATTTGTTGGAAACGAGGGCATTAAAAACATAAACTTTGGATGAGGTTTGGAATAAATTTCGCTAATAATTTCTTGCGGATCTCTAGATGAGCGCGTTTCTCTCCGCAAGAAAATGAACGTGGTATATTTACTTTCTTAAATCCGTTTCTGGGTGAATGAGAAATTAGCTCCAAAGTGTAATATTTTGATAAGCCTAAATAGGTATGCAAAATGGAGAAAGTATTTGTCCCACATGGAAAAAATGTTGAAACTAATTGAAATTTAAATAAGCCAAATTTAGGCTTGGGCTTGGCCTAATTGTAAAGTCCAATTATTCTTTTTACTAAATGGAATCTTGGATTGGGCCTTTAATTTTGGACTAGGATTATTTAAATGGGTGGTTAGTTTTTGAATTTAAATTAAAAGTTAGTTTTTTTTTTTTTTAAAGAGTTGTATCTATTTCTAAAGGGTTGCATTTGTTTTTCAAAGAGTTGTATCTGTTTCTAAAGGGTTACAACTCAAAACCAATAGACATAACTATTCATGTAAACCATTGCAATCTATTGGAATGGATGTGTTTATTGGTAAACAGACACCATGTGAACCATTGCAACCAATTGGAGTGGATGTGTCCAGTGTGAAGAGACACATATAAATGGTTGTGTCCAATGATAAAGAGACACACCCAATCCGAAAAGACACATTAATTAAAAACTACTTTTTAGTTTTTTCCAAAGGGTTGCATCTAATCCGAAAAGGCACCTTTTTGCATATAAATACCCCCCTTTGAATCATTTGCAAATCATTAATTTTCATTTTCTTCTATCTCCCTCTCTAGACTTGAACCCAACCCAAGTGGGTTTAAACCATAGGTTAAGTGGTCCGAATCACTTAGACCCTAATCCAATTTCATCGAGCCATATTAAGATTGGTTCGAACTATTTGGTTCGGATTGTACTCAATTCAGCATTTATATAGTACAGATGCATTTTTGAGTCAGAGAGAGTATTACACAGAGAAGGTTCGCCGTATCCACGAGTTTGTAATGTTGCTGCTGGTGGATGTAGACCGTTGTATCCTAAGAGATAGACGCCACTGAGTCTGTAAGCACCATAGCGAGGCGAATCTGTCTTAAGGACATAATATTCAATACTAGCCTCGGTACAGGTTCTTTATTTATTATTATTATTTTATTACTTTATTTTGCATATTTAATTAAATATAGAGTTGCATATTTAATTAATGATTTCTTAGTATATTGTTAATTATCTTATGACATATTAGTATAATGTTTATTATATCTTAAATGTTACATGAAACATATATACCAGCACAATTTAGGTCATTCTTGAGACTAAATTTATTATTTTTGAGCTGGCTATCCAATGACGTACACTTCGTTCACCATAGTTGTCATGATATGACCGTTTTACCCTTGGTTTTTTTATTATGTCCATTTTGACTTAGCTTCCGCATTTGTCTTTGAGTTGAGTCTTGTGACTCCTTATGAGGTTCTCTTGTTATCCTAGAGGCCGTGTTTGCCTCTAGTGATCTCGATCTTCTTTTGTTTTCGCTTTCATATTTTGCACTCGATATCGGGTCGGGTTTGGGTCTTCTTGGTTAATGCACCGGATCATGGGATTTGGGGCGTTACAAGTTGTTAGGCTTGTGTTTGAAGGAGTGAGAAGACGTGCTTGAAAGAGAGAGAAAACAGAGACAAAAAATATATATATATCTATTGTCTGAAAAATAATATGTTAAGGATAAATCTTGTATAAAATTTTTTTTCAACGTAATCACTTAAACTAACATGAGTTAAAAACACCTATTAGAATAGTTAAAGAGAGTATTTTACCAAAAATATTCATAAAGGTGTTTTTCCATAACTGACTGAGTAATAGTCGATGGTCTTTTTTATTTTTATTTTTTGCAATTCTCCCCTAATAATATTGATCGACACATTACCCGCAAGAAAAAATTTGTTCACACGGGTGAGAGGTGACAAGTTTTTTTTACTGTGGGGTCATTTGGTTGAAAGTCATAGTTATAGATGGAAAGTTATATACTTGTAGCGCAATGAGGTGGGCATTAAAACCTGAAGTTCTTACATTGACTGCAAACGGTGACCGACAATTTTGCAGGTTTGTTAAGGACGGTTTAGTAATTTAAGTTTTGGAACATTGTACAGTTGGTGGGTCTCCTCAGTTTCCACGCACAACCAATACCCACCTCTTTGTGTTCCCCTTCTTCCTTCTTCAGATGTACAACTTCTAACCGATGAGAAAAGAGTGATTTCATCGATCGTTTAGAGAAAAAACAAGAGTTGGGTGAGAGAAAATCATACACTACTATATATGTGTATATATATTTATTGAGAGAGAGAGTCATAAACAGAGAGAGAGAAATCCACACAATAGGAATTGTTTTTCTGTTTTGATCTCATCTTCACCGAGCTACAGCTTTCTGTGTAGCTCGATTTGGTATTAAATTGGACCTGTTTCTGACTTTCTTTGCCAAAGTTGACTCAAGATAGGAATGAGTTTCGTTGTAGTTTAGTTATTAATTTGGTTAAACAAAAGAAGTAAACAATGTCTTGGAAGAGCAGAGGAGTAGATTCAAATTCAAGGACTGTTTTATCTCAAAAATTGACTCTTTTTCTTTGTTTTGGATGCTTCTGTGCTGGGATGCTCTTCACTGACAGGTATTTTTTCCCCCTTCTTCTGGCTCATTGATTGTTCAATTTGATGACATGGGTGTCTTAAATTTCTCAAATTTTGTTATTTTTTAGTGAATTCTGGAAATGGGTTTTGGTGGTCTCCGTGAATTGTGTGTTTAATTGATATGCCTACCCATAGCGAGAAGAATTTTTTATGGTTTCAAAGTCCTTGTTTTAATGTTCTTTTCTGTTGGTTTTTGTTTGGTTTTTTGTGGGATAAATGTGTATGCTTTCAATATGAGTTGCATTAGTCATTTAAGATATTTTGATGTTATGGTGATGGAGATTGAGTGTGTCGAATTCATCAGGCAAAACTAGAAAAAAAAAAAAGGAAAAAGGAAAAAGTTAAAAGGAGGGTGGGTGGGTTGGGTTGTTTTGATTGTCACGGTCTCATTTTCATCTTTTTTCTCCATTTGAATTTAAAGATTGGGGGAACATCTGAAATTTATGTTAGAAATGCAGATCGAAATTAAAGTAAAATTTGTGTTAATTGTCGGTTTGCTTCGACATAGATATTACGATTTGAGAGGAGGGTAATTCAAGTTTGAATGTTTCTGAACATTTTAATGGTCTATCCCTCCCCACCTTTTGTGGGTGTGGTCATAGTGCCATTGGTGTGTTTAGTCCCTTCAACTGCTTGGCATTGGCATTTTTCGCCTTCTCTTCTTCAACCCCTCCATTCCTTCCATTCTTGTGTCTTTTTCCTTTCTTTTTTTTGGTTCCATATACTTTCATTTCCTATTTACTGATTATAAATGCTTTGAAGTTAAGTATTTGATCTCATGGTGATAGTGATGGAAGCAATAGGACAACTGTCGATTTAACCACTTAAACTTTTGTTATTGTTCAAATACCTATGTGCTTTGCGGCCGATGTTTACGGCACATCAGTCGGTGGTGGCAGTCATGCCAACCTACTTTTGGGTGGATTTGTTCCTCCTTTGGCGGCTTATTTTTGTCCAAGTAATCAGCCCAACTGGTCGCCCATCCTAAAGTTGGAACTTTGGGATGTGGATTTGAATTAATGCCATGTTTTAAGAACTTAACAATTGTAGTAGTCAGAAGCTGTAAAAATGATGGAGTTTAGTTCAGGCACTTTAACGACTTAGGATAATTGCATGTAGTAATCCTATATCTGAAATATATAATTGGAATATAAGAATTCTAATTGAGATTTTTAGCATGTTTGTTAGGAAGAAATTAGGGCTGGATCTGTTCCCTCCGTGATATAATATTGCTTATTGTGATTCTTTTTCATGTTGCATGGAGCTTCTTGAATATTTATATTATATTAATTCGGTTATTGTGGTGATAGAATGTGGAAAATGCCAGAAGCTAAAGGCATGTCAAGGACAGCAGGAATTGAAGATGAAAGGCTAAACTTAGTCTCCGAGGGTTGTGATCCAAGAACAGTGAGTATTTTACTATCAATGAAACTTTATCCTCCCTTGCAATTGTGGGGATGTGACCATGTATCGGTAGCAGACACGTACTTATTTTATTTCTTTTTGCTGGTTAATTTTCTTTTTATTGTCTTTCAAACTAAATAATCATGGGATTGTAACCTGTTTTGAGTGTTTATGTTTTAACCACAAGGATGCAAAAAGGGAGTCAAAGGACATTTTAGGGGAAGTTTCCAAGACACATAATGCTATACAGTAAGTCAACTAGGGCTATTAAATTTAAAATTTTACTGAGGTTAATAATATTTTCCATTATGTATTTACATGGATGCATAATTTATGACCATTTACAAAGTGCAGCACACTGGATAAAACAATTTCAAATCTGGAGATGGAATTGGCTGCTGCAAGGGCTGCACAGGATTCTATACTTAGTGGCTCCCCTTTATCTGGAGACCTGAGGATTACAGAACCGACTGAGAAAAGAAAATATCTAATGGTTATCGGCATTAACACTGCTTTTAGCAGTCGTAAGAGAAGAGACTCAGTGCGTGCTACTTGGATGCCTCAAGGTTCATACCAGTTTGTCTCTCAATTAGTAATTCCGGTTCTGGTTAAATAAATTTATTCATAAACATTTTTTTTCTTATTTCATTGAAAGCAGGTGATAAACGGAAGAAGCTTGAGGAAGAAAAGGGCATCATAGTTCGATTTGTAATAGGTCACAGGTGGGTAAAAGAGAACATTTGGAACGGTCTTGATTAAGTACACATAGCTCTTTTATTTTTTCATGGCTATTCTTTTCTCTCAAAACCTTTGTTGAATTTTGTGCTCTTTGTACAAGAAAACATAAAAGTTGGTTAGTTATCATATCGCAATCTCAAGTTCTGCATAGATGCAGTCCCAAAATTTAGAACTTGATATAATGATAGATTGGTACCGGTCACAAATGAGCACTCACATAATTATGTCATTTAACTTTATATATTAATGAGAAGGGTTACTACTCCAAATAATGCTTGATCCTCATAGCTAATGACTGTAGCAACTTGTTTGCTACTGTTATTACATAATACAAGGGATGCTACTAGTCAAGCAAAGACTCAAAGAAGCCAAATTAGGAAAACCCCAAACTAGACTCCTAGATGATTAAAATCACTATTCAACACTCTTTCTAGCATCCATTTTTGGTTTGTACAGGCCAAATGTGGATTGATAGGTAACATTGAATTCTGTTCTTGGTCCATAAGAACTTTTACCTTCTTGCTTGTTATCTTATACCTTACTTTTTAGAGGGGTATTGAATTTTGTGCTCCTTGCATACAGAAGATGACAAAAGATGGTTTTGCAATGTCACCACCTTAATCATTGCGTAGGTGTGATACCAAAACTAGTAGCAGATAACTTTGCAATACAAAAATATCTTTGTAGCCTAAAGTTTAATTTGAATAGAAGAGTTACTTTTATGCTACAAAAAATCTTGAACTCTCAAAGATTCAAAGATCTTTAATGGCTGCCTCACTAGGTACATGATGAAAGTGAGGCAAAAATGTTTCTGAATTGAAATACTAGCATATATTGATGTAGTCAAATTATATGGATGCTTAGTAATTCAACCTTTTATGTTCTAAACGAATCACATTTGTTGATAGTGCAATGCCCAAATTCCATTTAATCACCTAAAAATCTTCATGGGAGAATTACATTTAAGTCCTACTTTTCATTTTATAGGTCATCAAGTGTTATCAATGAACGAATTTACTATATTAATATTCATTGATAGGACTTGATGGTCCTATAAAATGAAAAGTAGGACTTCTTTGTAATTTTTTCAAATATTAATTCATTAGATTATGGGTACCAAAGTAATATTTTGATAAATCTCTGGCAGAACGTCCAGGAAACTACCATGAATCAGAACAAATTATTATTTTGTTAACAGGGAAAGGAGAAAATTTTGAACAATGAGAAGACAGTATAGGAGAAAAGATTGGGAGATTGGTCTAATTGCTTCCTAGTGTTTCCGGCAACTCCAGCTTCTGAACAAAGAAAGACAAATATCAGCTTTTTCATTACATAGTTGTCACTCTCTTAGAATGATATTTATGTCTATATTTAGCTTATTTCCTTGTCTTCCTGACTTGAAGTACTCATCACCGAAACACTAAGTTGTTAAGACCTTGAACTGTCTACAACTTGTAAGCTAGCTTCTACTGCACTAACTACTATCATTTGGTATGAAGATGGAAGAATGGATGGAAGGGAGGATAGGTAGTAGGATGGATGAGACATCCCTAGGGAAGGGAAGGTGTCATTCTCCCCTTTTTGTTTGGTTGAGTGGAAAGGAAAACAAGGAGTTGACTTCTTTCCCTCCCCTCCATCTTTCCCTTATACAATAGGGACTTGCTCCATCCTTCCTCAATTCCCTCCCAAAGTTTAAAATATAAACTAATTCAAAGAATTTATTAAAAACTCTAATCAGAAATGCATCATTCAAAACTAGAATCAGAAGACCGGAAGCCCTTTAATTACCAAGTTTAAAATGTTTAACCCATCTTTGTGACACGGTATCAACTAGAAATAAAAAAGTCAATTTGTTCTATAATGATGCGAGGATAAACGATATTACAGTTGACCTCCTCTTTTCCCTTTTTGGTTATTCATGGTGGACCTAGTTTGACAAATCACAGTAATACTAGACTCAAATTGTGAAAACACCTCTTTAGAAAACTAATTTACTCAAATTTGTTATGCTTCCCCAGTTGGAGACATTTTTGAAGCAGTTTGGCAGAGTAGAGGTTAATCATAAAGACATATGAGCTGCTCAAGAACTGTTTTCTCTCTTATTTGTACGTTTATATCTCATTGTTTTTGTAGACTAAAAGTCATGTTATGGTCGTACTAATTGGGTTGATTAATTGCCATCAATCGAGGATGTAATTACAGTTGTGGCAACTAATATTACATATATTAATGCACACTTTGAGATTTAGAAATTTTCTTCATTGCTTATTTTCTGTGGAGGAATTACCACAGTATTGCTGCTGATTCTGGTTCTGCCAAATTATAATGTTACTGTTTAGATCTTGTCAATCTCGGTGGGGAGAAAGAGTAGAGGACAGGGGTAGCATTCTCGTGATGGAGTTACTCTTTACTAATACTAGTATAAGGTCTATAAACTACAAACTACTAATAAATAGAAGATACCATAAATTGCTCAACATATTGAGAACTTAGGGCAAACTTAACCATTAGTACAAAAACAGGTTTAAGAAATTGTCTGATGTATGTCGACATTCTTGTATTCCTAATCTACACAGATAATGATAGATTGAGTCTAATTTCTTCCCTTTTCCCAATTGGCCTTTGTCATCAGTGCTACATCAGGTGGTATTCTCGATAGAGCAATTGAAGCAGAAGACAGGAAGCATGGAGACTTCTTGAGGCTGGTACTGATGTTCTTTCTTCTCTCTCTTTTCATTGTCATTCTTATCTGCTATAGTCTGTAGAATACATTCGTACTCAACTACCCAACTGCTCACCTGTCACATGCACAAGCATGGCTACACCCACATTCGCACTAACGAGCACTTCTACTCTCTTCCTATAACCACATTCAACCATGGGCACATACACATGCACTCCTGTAGCACTTTTATTATAGATGAATCAAAGAAGTCGACTGATTGTTCTCCTCCTGTTATTTAAATGCAATGTGAATAGGAACATGTTGAGGGATACCTTGAACTGTCTGCCAAGACGAAGTCATATTTTGCCACTGCCGTTGCTCTGTGGGATGCAGATTTCTACGTCAAAGTTGACGATGATGTACATGTAAATATAGGTAAAGATGCAGATATCGATTAATGTTGTGGCTTGGTAGTATTTTTGGTTTGTTTACATTTTCTGTGTTATTATAGGATAAATAGAGTAGGAAAGGACTACACATTGAAGCTTAAAATTCCTTCCCTGTCTCACTTTTTACTTCCTTTTTTATTTTTATTTTTTAAGTTGGTTAATTTCTTGTTCCATTAAAAAGGACTAAAATATTATTTGATTTTGTTTTGTCATGCAACCCAGAACCTGTGTGTTGACTACTATGGAATGTAAGAGTGGTTAGCCATGCAATTCCCAAAAACATGATTCCGTTGGTATCGTATGCTTAGACTTAAAACTATGATTTTGGTAGTTGAAAAACAACCTAGTTTACACAATGTTCTTCTCGTAGTACTATTGGTTTCACGATGAAGGTTAAATATTGATAATAAAACACCGTGTCAGTATTTGCATTTGAGATATTATAAGATACACGGTCTCTCAAAAAATGATGCATTATTATTATTTTTTTTATTGTTTTTAATCCTTTTGTAAAATAACTGCAGGAACTCTAGGAGCAACCTTGGCTAGGCATAGGTCAAAATCCAGGGTTTATATTGGATGCATGAAATCAGGTCCTGTCCTTGCTCAAAAGTAAGCTAAGCTTTCCAAAAAACTTATGTTGCTTGAATTTTGGCAAACTGTGTCTTTGTTTTTTGTTTCTAAATTGCATCTTTATTAACAGGGGAGTGAGATATCATGAACCTGAGTATTGGAAATTTGGCGAGGAGGGAAACAAGTATTTCCGTCATGCTACAGGGCAGCTATATGCTATTTCCAAAGATTTGGCTAATTATGTATCAATAAACCAGTAAGTATCTATTGCTCTTGTTAAAAAATAATAATAATAAAATAAGTGGCTCATTTATGTTTTAATTTGTTTTATATCCTATCTTATTAATCTCATGATTCTTATCAACTTAGGCATGTGCTACACAAGTATGCTAATGAGGATGTCTCCTTGGGATCATGGTTTATTGGGTTGGATGTAGAGCATATAGATGATCGAAGACTATGTTGCGGAACCCCACCTGGTAACAATATATGACTCTGTCTATTCTTTCCCCCTTGAAAAATTGAGGGCTCTTTACTTATCAAATAAAAAAATAAAAAAATTGAGGGCTCTTGTAGGGATAGTTTTGAGGATCAATTGTCAATATCTAAGTCTAATTTGGGACCTTCATGTAGTCTCCCAGAGGCATTATGAAATATGCCTTCCATCTCATTTTTTGTATTCAGTTGTTTTATAAGGCAATGACCAACCCGATTGGCCCTTCAAATTTAACAAGGCAGAATGCCATGCACCAATTCTGGTGCTCCTTAATTTATGACATGGAAATTGCATTGATCATATACCTAGATCACATTCAGACGTACAGGTGTAGGCAGCTTGCATATCAGTTTTTTCACTTAATTAGGGTCGACACCACTCCCAACATTCTAAGCCCATAGCCGTTTATTCTAGTGTTGAATAGAGACTAGTACCATACCTTATTGTACTGTCATCTGATTTTGGTCATGTTATTCTCTCAAAAAAAATAAGAAAAATAAGGAAGGAAAAATGTTGGTTAAAGGGTGTATATTTATGCAAAAAGAATGTGAAACTAATGCTTTGGAGAAATCAATTGTTACCACAGATTGTGAGTGGAAGGCTCAAGCAGGCAATATCTGTGTTGCTTCCTTCGATTGGAGCTGCAGTGGGATTTGCAAGTCCGCTGAGAGGATTAAGGAGGTCCACCGGCGGTGCGGGGAAGGTGAAAATGCTTTGTGGAGTGCAGTTTTCTGAAAAACATGTCTTCCAACCTCTGGAGGAAGCAAGTGCATTTCATGAGTTTGTTGTATTATGGATATGATGACGAGGGAATTTGTATGAAGCATCAGACTGCACACAGAGAGAGAGAGAGAGAGAGAGAGAGAGAGAGAGAGAGAGAGGTTGCCGATGGGATTCTTCTCCATTTTAGCTAGAGAGAGACCCGCGTATGTATCCGATAGAGGTAGAGGAGCAAGACTGGAATCAACCATTCTTTTGATGCTTTGAGGAACATATTGTTTCTTCCACGGCTCAAAGACGCATAATAAGTGCCAATCCTTGGGGAAGCACTTGCTGCCTTTTGGTTTATAAATTAGTTATTTTTTTTTTTTTTTCTTGCACTTTGATGGGTTTTGTATGCTTTTCATTATTGTAAATTGGTTGGTGATAAAGGTACCTTATTTTTGTAATCACTTTGCTTCATTTTCAAGCTTCATTATGGAAAATCTACATTGAATGTTAACTTGTCTCATTTGACGAGCCAATACGAGGAACTAATTGTATTAGAGTGAACTCGGTGATTTTGAGTAGTTAATATTTTTTTTTGGAACCCCAGTGAAGCGAGCCGTAAATTCGGACGTAAAAATTCAAGGTTTCATCTTCCAAACTAATAATGATAATAATAATAAATTCCCCCAGTGTCCATCATTAGGCTGCCTTTTTCTTGTAAGATTATGATATTTGCTGGTGTAATGGAGCATCTTTGGTAGGTTTTTAGGGTGCCTGATTGTCTTAGGGGCTTTTTGCCTCGCTAATAAAAAAATGCTAGAGTTGAATTCACTCAAAGTGTCGATGACTAGAAGGTTTAACTTGAGAATGTGAAAATATGTTCTTCCAGTGAGATTGTTCTGGTGAAACTGTCCATCACACACAAATAATATTATGCCGCAAGAAGAATACGAAATTGTTAGAGAACTCTACCAATCACTCTCTAAGCCCCCGAAATTGTGCTCGAGTCTATTTAAAACTAAGAGACACAGTTGTTGATAGGGAGTATTTTCAGTCCTCTCTTTGCATTTACCCCTTCTTTGTATGGTCTCATGTGCATTAGCCCAAGTAACTTAAAATATAGGTGGTCAAGTTAGTTGTCTTCTACATATTCAGATCGGTTGGGGGAATCTCAAAATCCTCTCCAACGCTACAGTTCTCTTGTTCGAGCCGGTGAGCATTGCTTAGCTCTTGTTGAGCCACGTCACTACCCAAAAACATTGCTTAGCTCTTGTTGAGCCACGTCACTACCCAAACAAGTCAGAAAACAATTCACCGCAATAAGTTACTTGTTATGCAAACACGTAAATAAACATATCTTGATACAAACTCTATATTCCAACTTTCTCCTAACCAACATCCCAACTTTCTTCTTACCAACATCCCACTTATTATACAAATACATAAATAAACATAACTTGGTACAAACTGTATATCACAACATATTCCTAACCTACATTCTAACTTTCTCCTTACTAACATCCCACTATTCATCTCTTTACCTTGTTTGGGATACATGTTAGGAAAATATTGGGACGTTGGCCTTGCATTACAACATTTTCTTAATGTACATCTCAACTTTCTCCTTACCAGCATCCCACTATTCATCTCTTTATCTTATTTGGAATACATGTTAAGAAAATGTTGGGACGTTGGCCTTACATCACAACATTTCTTATCCCAAATTTCTCCTTATCAGCATCCTACTATTCATCTCTTTCTCTTGTTTGGGATACATGTTGGGAAAATGTTGGGACGTTGGCCTTAAATCACAACATTTTCCTAACGTACATCCCAACTTTCTCCTTACCAGCATTATAACATTTTCCTAACACATATCCTAAAATATCCTGTATGTATGTGTGTATGTTTTAAACCTTTACCATTTTAACTCACCGGATGACACAAGTTCTCTTGTAGCGCATGAGAGGATTTTGTTTCTCGAGTGGGTGGGTGAGTTGTATTTCTTTCCAATAAAATAAAAAATAAACAAAAAAAACTAAGGACAGTTGAAAAATGGGTCTATTTTATATAAGTTTAAAATCAATTGCCATTAGTTGTAGTGGATGAATTCCAGGGAGAGAGAAGAAATTTCATCTTTGGACAACTTGAGTTCTAAAGTCATGAAAAGTCTATGTATAAAAATATATATATATGAATTAAATTATAATTCAAAAACTTATATACGTAAAGACACTAACCTAGTTTTTCACTTAACACTTTGTTACTAAATACTCAGAAAATATTATATATATATATATATATATATATATATATATATATATATATATATCACTCTCAAAAATTATTAATTGTGGAAGGAAAAAAAAAAATTTAATTTTGATATAAAACTATATACAATTAAATTAGTATTTACATGATCTTATAAGCAATTTACAAAAGAATGAAGCTCACTTGTTATAGAAGTTTTTGGAGAAAGTGAGGAGGGTGGCATGGGCATAATAGGAAAATAAGATGTGAAGGCACCACTTTTATGGGAAAGTAAAATTTTCCTGTGTTTTATATCAGAAAAATTTTGAGGAAAATTAAGCAATTACAAGAAAATTACTTTTCTGAAAATTTTCTCTTTCATGCTAACCAAATTCCTAAAAAAGTTAAATATTTTCCTTTTCTTTTCCTTTCTATTTACTTCATGCTAATCAAATACTAATCAAATAAACCCTTAAGCTCTTTCTCTCCAATCCAAACTTTAGGGTTGCTATTCAGCATGGCCGACTATCTTGTTTGTAATTCTAGATAGGTGAGAAGTGGATCTGGCTGAGCCTATTCCATACTTCGCATTAGGCTTTTTTAAAGGACAAGTCAACCCCATGAGTTAATAAATTAGCTCATTAACTGTTAGAGAATTGTGATATAGAGTCGGAGGATGTATCATCGGATACATTTGATTAAATTTACATGAATAGAAAATGATGTCATAAATATCTATGTAAAATAAAATAGTAGATTTAGACATAAATAAAAATAAAAATAAAAATCTAAAAGTATGTTTAGATCTATTGTTTTACTTCACATGGATAGTTACTGCTTCATCTTGTACATGGTTGTATGTGTAAAAGTAAATGTAGACAAAAACGATGCTGAAGACAATATTTCTTTGAATCACTAATCTCTTTGTTAAGAATATGTAACAGAGGACTAAGAGAAACAAAATACAAATACATCTATATGTTTGTGTCACATCCATGGCAAAGTCAATACAACAACTACATGGTTTATATTTGCAATGGTTGATGAAGTGAATGATTTTCATAATATTTTTTAAAAATATGATATTATTACTTTCGTAAGAATCGTCACTATTTTTATTATTACTATTATTTATTTATTTATTTATTTTAACTCAATTTAAATCTTTAAACTTATACTCTAGGTTCCTCAGTAGCCTAATTTATTTATTTAGAACTAAAATTTTCAACCCAAGTTTTTAATAAATTAAAAAAATTGCTCTTTTAAATTTTTATTTCATTCCCAAACTCTCGTCTTCTTAAGACTTGGATGTAAGATAAGCTGATTCAAAAATTAATTTTCCTGAAACCGTTTTGGTTTTTACTGAGAATCATTGTAAGGAACATAACCTTAGGATTTAAACATCAGTGGTTCATTCTTTCAAGTCTGCTTAAATTCTTTTTTCTTTTTTCTTTCCTTTTTCGCTGCTTAAATTCTCAAAAGGCAACATTTTAACTTCATAAAAGTGAAATAAGAGTGCTTGAACGCATTCAGAATTCATGACTTTGAAATGGCCCAACAACCTACACATTACTAATAGTAATGACTTTATTGTCGAAACGAGGGTTGAAACCCTATAATATTCATGGAGCATGGAGGTTCGGCAACCAGGGTTCCATGGAACCATATGCTTGTAAAATGAATTAAATATTTTGATAAAGGAAGATAATAAATGATTATGACTGTAATACCACGTGATTTTATGGATTAATTAACTGTGATTAATAATTTTAAATTGGGTGTAGATAAATTATTTATTTGTTTGCTTATGTGCATTCGTGTGATGCTGCGTTAAATTTTTTGGCTTTTATGCATCGGGTCGTGTTTATTGGATTGAGATTTATGGTGTCGGGTCTTGGGGATTCCATGGGCCAGCTTTGAATCCTTTTTTTTTTTTTTTTTGAGGGGGGGTTTTATGCATCGGGTCGTGTTTATTGGATTGAGATTTATGATGTAGGGTCATGGGGATTCCATGGGCCAGCTTTGAATCTTTTTTTTTTTTTTTTTTGGGCGGGGCCGGGAGGGTTGATAATATATAGTTTAATATAATAAAATAAAAACTATAAAATAAAATATTCTGATTAAAAGTCGAGGTTATAATTTGACTCTATATCTTTAAGATATATTCACTCCGCTATGGTGTTAACGGACTCAGTGGCGTCTATCTCTCAGAATATAACGACTTGTCTTTTTTCGGTAGTAGCACTGCAAACCAAAGGAATAGGCGAACCAGCTCGGTATAATACTCTCTGACTCGAACTCGGACTCTGACTCACTGACTAAGGGTCGAACCCAAATACGTAGGCTCGAACCCATAGACTAAAGAGAGAAGGATGAAGAAGAAAAATTTAGAAGAAGAGAAGAATTCTTTGAATTTTGGTGTGATTTGCAAATGATTTAAAGGGGGGTATTTATAGGTAGCAAGGTGCCTTTTCTGGTGGTTGCAACTATGGGTTATGATGATTCGGAAAAATATGCAACTCTTTGGAAAAAACTAAAAAGTGGTTTTTAATTTAAATTCAAAAAATCAACCACCCAAAAAACCAACCACACATTTAAATAAGCCCAGCCCAAATACAGGCCCAATTCAAAATTCCATTTAGTAAAAAGAATAATCAAACTTTACAATTAAGCCTAAGCCTAAGCCTAAGCCCAAGCCCAAGCTTGACTTATTTAAACTTCAATTGGTTTAAACATTTTTTCCATTTAGGCTTATCAAACACCTCACTTTGGATCTAATTTCTTATTCATCCGGAAACGGATTTGAGAAAATAACTATACCACGTTCATCTCTTTACGGAGAGGAACGCGCTCGTCTATAGATCCGCAAAAAATTCTTAGTGGAATCTATTCAAAATCTCATCCAAAGTTTATATTTTTAATGCCTCCGTTTCTAACAATCCCCTATATAAATGAAAATTTGCGTAAATTGCAAATGAAGAAGATACAGACGCTAGAGAGAGTACTATTGGAAAGTAACTGCATCGGGATATGTAACTTTTGGCCTTAAACCTTCCCTAGTGTATTACTATCGGATTTACTGGCTAACCAGTGAGCATGATGTCTTGAACTGTTTAGCCGTTGATGTAAACCAAGACAATAGCAAACACACAGTTCCTTCCCGTACAAAGTCGGTTCTCATGGTTGTGTTCATATGGCCCTGAACAACTCTTGGTATTTCATGAGTGCTCTAGAAAACTTAGCCTTAGAAGTTCTCATAGAAGC